ACTGTCTTACAAGACCCAAGCGTGCACCTACATGTAAGTCAGTTCTAAAGTGAGAAGAACAACCAATAACAAAATAGATTGTGAATGTAACAGATGGAAATCAAGTTAGGAAACTAATGAATCATTAAAAATGGTGCCTGTCGTACAGTGGCAAAAGGGCAGCTAGTAGTGGCCGGTTACCTACAAAGCTTAATGTGGCCTGATGCAGAGGTGATCTCGATTAAACGTGACGTGGCGTCTAGTGTACTGCCCCATGACCTCCCATAAGCAAATGAAAGAATGATATGAACGAAAACACTAACAAACACTTAACAGTGGTTGGAAACACTTCTACTACGGGTATAGCTAGAGTAAGCTAGCTGGGCGGCATAGGACAAATACACAGTAAGCACTAATGTAACTTGGGAACTTGATACAGATTTATGTCTTAAGTCATTATTAATATGTAGTGATAGGGGCTTAATGTATCAGCAGGCTGTTTAAACCACAGGTGAGTTGCAGTTTAAAGACATTGACCATACGTTTGTAGTAGTCTGATGTTTCGGACAATAAACCACAAATCCACATCAGTAGACTTATAAGTAAAAGTAAATGCTCTCACTGATGCTCAGTTACGATACACTTTCCACTAACATTTTGAACTTGGCAGGGATGTGAAAGTTTTTATTCACTTACAGCAAAGACTCAAGCAATTATTTCTTGAAGAAATTTTAGTTAAATTCAATAAAGATTGTAAACAGACTGTAATATAAAATGTCCCATGAACAAAACTAATCAGCCAAAATCACGTAATTTACGCAAACAGTGTACAAATTTGATGTGGTATTTAGATATAATTAGATTTATTGATTAATTCATTACCAAGGTTGTAATTGTGTCTAAAGTGTGTAGGTCAACTAACAGAATGTTCACAGGTGAAAATTCATGAGCATTTTATTCACCTGAAGAGTAAATATGGGTGAACTCATTGAAGATATGTCTTCAGACGTCTTGTTGATCATTTATAATCACCTGAATTTTAACAACAGAATCTCAAGTGACACATCTAACTTTTTACACAGAGTAGGTTGAGAGCTAAATTTTGTTTCTTAATCCAGTACGTTATTTCATTCAAACAGTAACCTATGCGTCACGGAAACCAAGATTATAGCAAACATCATATGTATGAAGTTAGACTGCGTCCGAATGTTCATCTACTACCAATTCTCTGTCCTTGTAATGGCATCAGCTATCCACTTCAAAAATTTGTTAACCCCTTGTTCAAACAATTTCACTAATTTTGTGGACAATCTTTACCGGAAGTCAGTATCTGGTTCTCTATGTGGATAAGTGGTCCTCCACTAATCAACGCCTCAATGGTATCCAAAAAGTAATCCAGCACCAGTTGTACAAGCCAAAATATCACATTTTGAGCCTGGTTATAAAAAAACTCAAAAAAACCCTTTCTATAACAAGATATTTAAGAAATTTTGTATCTTCCTGGGAGTTTTTATCCCACCCTTGAAACAACTACAAGATTTTTTCTGCATCTTTCTCACGTTGCAAGGTTTCCTGAGAGGTTCAGTTTAAAATCTAAAATTATTTCATATGTCTTGATCTTAGAAATAAGAAACAGTTCGAGTTTGTTCTTGAAGCTGCATAATGTAGTGGGTATGTTCAGTAGGTTTGGTAGTTACAACAGACTTTGCCTACAGAACGTGATAATGTGTAAGATAAGTTGTCTCAACACATAACTAACAAACTTTTGCTCGATACTATATTTAACAATTTTGGCTATTTATTTCCTTCGTTACTGTAATAACTGGACATGTCCAGGTGAGAAGCTTAGCAAACGTTCAGTTGTTTGTCACGAATAACTCTAGAGACTACTTTAATATATATATTTCAACTTAAAAATTACTTGTTACATGAATAAAACAAATAAACTTAATTGTCTATTTCCATAATTCCTTCATTACTCCCTCATGCTTATCCTGACCGTGAATCAGTGAAGAATATCTATATTTTGAATTGAGTTTTCACTAGCAATGGTGTATAGGACACCTGTTTGCATAATTGAATTCCAGTTGGTCATTTTCACATAGACTGCAGTGACATTATTTGACCATACTTTTAAATTGAACACCTTGGTTACCTGAACTGCGTAAGCTGTGTGGATCGACTGGAGATTTAGAAAATTTCAAATATAATCGCCATTCTTCTTTTGTGGGTTTGAGATTCCAAGTTCTAGTTACCACCCATTGAAGTAAATTGTGTATATTTCTGTGTATCGTAGGTAGTACAATAACTACATCCTTTAAAATAAAGTTTTTGTAAGTATCAACAGTACTGAACATTTTCATGAGTACAAATTTATATGAGATGGTGGTTATTCAACTCTGAGGATGAGATTAACGAACACAACCTCTTTGGCGAACTGATTGTCTTTTTCTGACATTTCTTCCTGGTTTCCACAGAGATTGCCTGAACAAACTAGTAATATACAACAATGGCTTAACAATTTCCAAATTAACGACTGTTAAAAATCGTTTATTTATAACCACTATTTATAATCTGTTCGAATATAAACTGATAACACAGCCATTGTACAGCCAAGGTCATGTACCCATTTACAAACTGCTAGAGAAAACGACTTCTGGAAGGGTAAAAAGTAAGTAGAATCACGGTTCATTTTGTAAAGTAAGGAACACGTACCAGTGATGGACAACAAAAATAAAGTTTGACTGGTGAAATGTATGGATGAGAGGAAATAAGAAGACAGAATGGAAGAAGAAGCAAAGTAATAATATTTCAATCTATCTTATTTGAAAGATAAGCCACCGCTTTGATCTGCTTGTATATTTGTCTACCAGTTAACTTGGTTCTGTAGTGCTGATTACGTAGGCTGCACAAAGCATCTTGTGTTAGTCTTTTAGCTACTAATAAACAAATTTTCTTTTTGTAAATGTAAATATGAATACACAACTTCTTAAAATGATTCATTCAAAGGAAAGTTTTCGCTGGCTGGTTCCGACTGAATCGATGATCTGTTTTGAAATCAGAAGCTTGGGTTAAAGCATAATTCTGACTAGTGCTTTTTCATTAATGGGCGCTGTATTCCGAAAAACTAGGCTCAGTATCTTGTTTGAAAAGGACACAATATAGGTAAACAGCTGAGCTTGTATTATGTGTCACCATTTTGGTTGAATTCACTTCAGTGTACTAAGAGCTTAACTAGGTTAACAAAAATGAAGTTTTCAGAATCACCGTCTGGTGCTCGCTGCTTTTGAGATTACTTGCTAAATACAACCGGATTCGTTTTACTTCGGATTTGTCAACATGATTTCGACGCGTATTTGTACATCCTGTTGTTAAATGGAGAATGCTAGACAATTCAAGCAGTCATGGCCTTCTGCCTTCTGATCTTAAAGAATTAGCAGTACTTCGAATCTAAATTTTGGTTCGCAATACCTGAGTATTGGTTCTCTCTTACTGCTTGACTGAGACATAAAAACTCAAATAATCAAATTTAAATGTCCTATCGATACTTGTCTATTTTTATGGAAAAGAGGATAATTTTACTGTTTAATTCCTTCCTCTTGCAAAAGTCTGTTTGACTGATGAAAATTAGTTTAACCTCTATCTCTTCGACAAAACTTACCACGAGTGTAAATACTTATTTCGGAAGTTGTTAAGTACCTTGTTAACTTAATACCATTTTCCTTACCAGATTCACTTCTTCATAAAGCCGCATTGAATTCGATATTGAAAGCTCGGTTTGAGAAGGCGCAAAACAGGGAGTAGAGAAACAATCAGACCATCCACGATTCAAACTAAAAGCACCTATTGCCACCTCAAAATAACAAAACACACTGAATTACCTGGGAAAATAAACTACTGTGGCTGCTAGTAGATAAGCTTATTTTGATTCGATATTTGTTTATGTATACTGGTTTATATAACATGCTTGACTGTTTCAAGCACATCTCCTATTCACTTACAACGAAACCCTGAATACACTAACCAGTGTGATATTGAAACGTGCGCCAAGAATACTGTCTGTAATAACCAACTGCTGGAAAGGTTCAGTGATGCAAACCTCCTACAGGTATGAATAAATGCGAAAAAGTAACACTATTGATTTCCGTAATTAAAAATAACAAATTAGCGTTTCAACAATAATAAATCCTCACACCCACCAATAAGAAAATTATTAAATCACTTTATGAAGCATACCTATAAGACTCTTGGACAAAACAATACTTAATGAGTAAAAAAGGGTGATTTCAGTAAATTCAATGGGGTAGGGGGAAATGTAAGACACATTTTAAGTGGATTAGTTGAAAATAGTAACAAAAACATCTAGAAATGGTTTTATTCATCAGCATAAGTTCAGGCTGAATTGAGTAAAGTCTTTAGAACACATTCACACATACAGTCGTTCATATGTATGCAAACATGCAAAACCTCTTGAATGTGCGCACACACACGCACCTTCATACACAAATGTGGAATATACACATTACAAAAGCATTACATAATCATTGTTACTCAATCATAGATACACCTGAATATCGCATAAGAAGCAAAGATGGTAACAATAAAAATTTAAAGGTTGTACATACCTGTTACACTTTAGACGTGATTTATGCAAAATTGGTATTCTCTGATCATTAGGTCATATGACATTGATGATTACCGTAATGTGTGCTGTTAGGCAGTGAAAAGAGACGTTGATATTCATTTTCCAAAATATTGTATAATCCAAACAATGTTTTAACCACTGTCAGATTATTTTTACAAGAACCTTCGATTTGCCCCCATCATATCTGTATCACTATTGCGATCTCCAACTGGTGTCAGCTCCCCTCCCATAGCTGAATGTTCATCATCATATTCATACACTGTCAACTTAACTTTGGATTTCGCTGACTTTTTCATTGATTTTGAAGCTACCGGTAGTGTTTTTGTCATTGTTGCCGTCGCTTTCGCTTTCCTGTGTATTACTGGACTGGTCTGTTTCAATAACTGATTGATAAGTCGATAGAATTCATAGTCTGCAACACTCTGTTGCACATTTTCATTAATGTTAGAATAAGAATGCAAGTTTTTGATGACTGCGAACGTGCTTGTCGGGGTTTTATACTTTTGTCCACAGTATAGTGACTGCCATGAGTAACACTATCTACAGTGGAACAAGTTGATGCTGACGGTGATTGAATAGGTTTTTTGTCAGTTATTTTCCTGGTGGATGCAGAACTTGATCTAGTCTGACAGTTGTTTAGATGGCCAGGATGATTACCCCATTCAAATCCAGCTGACTTAATGTGTTTTTGTGTTGTGTGATCAGGGTTTTGATTTCTTTGACGAATATTCCTTTTGCCGCTTTCATTCACCTGTCTGTGATTATTTAAGAGTAGGCCAGGAACAACTGGCTGTAGGTAAGGTGATATAGTTGGTTTTGGCATCCGAGAACGTCCTGTCAGAGGGAAATAATTGTAATTCTCTTTTTCGAGATATTTTTTCAGTGCTAAAGGTAGTTCTCTTTCTAGATAAATCTGTGAATACGGTAGTTCACACTTAGAATTAGATGCTGCTCTACCATTATGTTTTGATAAGTGTGCGTAAGGATCATTGGACTGTTTTTGCATGTTGCTAAGACTTTTAGAGTTTGAAACCTTTCTATTCAGGCGCTTATTGTTATTGCTATCAATAGCAGTTCTAATACGATCGGCTGCACTAGAATTCTGATTCTGTACTTTCAAGTCGGATGGAGTAGGCATGCGCACCACAAGTTGCTGCAGCGAATTTTTATCATGATGACTGTTATCATTATTACGAAAGACATTGTCTTCGTTATCTTCTACCGGATTATTAGGTGAGGAGCTTCCGGAAGTTGAATCTTTGGATGATTTATAAAAGTGCCTATCTGTTTGCGTATAACACGATACTGTACTAACAGGTTCTTGTTTCAGCTTCTCGCTAGATATGGTTGTTGAAGATGATGTTGAAAGTCTTTTTTTCCTTCTCCGCCTATTATCCGAGCACGTTTGTACACTGGAGTCTTTAAGTGCTAAGCCTAGACTTGGTGGGGCTATCGGTTCAGTTGCTGAGTCAGTCTTATGTGGTAACGTCTTCACCGTTGTCTCAACCTCTTCTTTTATGAGGACCAATTTTTGTGACTCATTTATCAATTTTAATTCTTTCTCTGGACAAGCGACATAATCAGATACTAATGAGCTATCCGGTTTGTCATTATTATGATCATCATAAAACTGTGCTTCGTTGCTGACTGTATTGATAGTATCAACATCCTGGTCAGCACAAACCCTACCTTCATCGATAAGTTCTTGATATGTTCTACCGCCATAATGTTTTAAAAGATCAATCAGTGCTTCTTTTGACTTTTCATCACTAGTTTCATTCAAATAGGCTAAATTTAATGGTGTAACATGTTCTTTATTTGGTAAGGATGTGACAGAATTGACATCAGCACCATGTTCTAAAAGAAACTGACACAATCTTATTCCTGAGGGCTCAGCACTCCATGAAGCTGCTACAACTAAGTGCAACGGTGAATGTCCTTGAGATTCTTTTGCATTGACAACTTCATCAAAACCAGGCAAATTCGCCAATTGTTTAATAAAATATACATTTCTTAGTAAACATGCTTCATGTAAGGGAGTTGCTGCATTATTATTTGCTTTCCATGGATCTAGACCAGCTTTCATCAGGTCGTCTAACTGAGTTTTGATAAGCTTTTCAGACTTTATGCCATTGGACAGTGAACTCAGTCTAGCTAAACAGTGACATACAGTACGACCTTTGTGATCGACATGCATGACATTTGTTCCAGCCTTGATTAAACATTCAGTCACTTTGACATGACCTGTTGCAACAGAATAAAACAGTGGACTACAACCATCATTATCAATGACATCACGAAACACGCCCACTTTGCTTTCATCATCTCTATTAGCAAGATATATCCAGTTTAAAATGACTGAACAGTTTGCAAGTGGCCTCTAGATGCAGCACAATGCAAAGCAGTTAGGCCATGTGTATCTCTGTGGTTTAAATTTGCGCCCATTTTAAGTAATGATTCCACAGCGTGCTTAGAACCAACTGTAGCTGCCCATATAAGTGGAGTACGGCCATGGGTGTCACATGAATTTAAGTTTGCACCACCAATACTGATAAGTAATTCAAACAATTGATCAATTTGTTCTGGATTCACTTGAACAGAATAGTGTAGAGCTGTAGCACCTTGATCATCGTGTTCATTGATCATTTCTTTGAAGATATTATTAATATTTGTAAGGAAATACGTCAGTACTTCTATTTGTGTGTATATAACGCATAAATGTAGAACTGTCCTACCTGTATTATTTAATTCACTGAACTCACTAGGTTCTGATGACGATGATGTTGACAAGAGTAATGATTTAGCTTTAGTTTTGATTTTCATATTCACATTGGTAAATTCACTCAGTACCTTTAAAAAGTCTACATCTCCATTTATAACTGCTAGATGGATAGGAGTAAAACCATTATGATCGAAATAATTTAGAAATTCCGGATTTGACTTGATAATAACCCGTGTACACTTCAGTCTGTCATATTGTTTAAATACGTTAGCATCATCATCGACCTTGTTATCATTATGATCCTCTTTCGTGCAATCAGCTTTTCCTTCAATCCATTTAACACAGTAGTGAAGTGGTGTATACCCTGTCTGATTATCAATCATATTACGTAGATTTCCACCATCAACTATAAATTTACCCAAATAGTCCAAATCGCCACGATGACAGGCATTCAGTAATTTAATTTTCTCTTCACTTTGACTAGTTGATTGTACTGAAGTCATTTGAAGTTAAATAATTTTGTTTTAAAAAGCAATGAATTTCGGTAGTAGTCTAATCCATGAAGAATAAGTTGGTAATCATCTTTAATTCTGGTAATATGTTAGGGATGTTTTCAATCACAAAGCACCCCTTCATAATAATAATAAGTTGATTTACATATTAACATTCAATTTTAAAACTAAAAATTGTTTTTAAAGGATATATTTTTATACTGCTGATGTAACCATAACAACGCTGTTTACCAACTATATGATTGGTCATTTCACCACTCCATTGATTGATGATTCGTGTCAAGGTCACATAAATGCGCGCGTTAGGAAAGGCTAAGTCTGGTAGTGTGGTAAGATACATGGACAAAAGTTGAGCTGAAAAAATAATTGTAACAAAATTGCGCTAATAACCTCAATACTATTTTGTAATATTATAACTAATTGCGTATCGCGAAATAAGAAAATAAAACTGTATACGGTAGACCTTAGTTGGAATTTTGTTATTATCACTTTTGTTAGGTTGTATGCAAACAAATTTTATCAAATAATCCGAAATTTTTTGCTAATCTATCTCTAAACGCCTCACAAATAGGATGCAAATAATCCAAAACTTACTAGATTGTAAAGAGCCCTGAAGTGATTATTAATATTTGTTTGATAAGGGTTAGTACTGAAGCGTAGACCAAGCGTTACATTCTACCACAGGCTGATCCGCTGTATGCACTAACACTGTATTAAAGTGGACATTCGGTTTTATAAGAAGGTCTACAAATTTAGTGCTGATTTCAAGCGAATCCAATTTCCTCTGAAAAGATCGATGAAAAATAGCTCAATTTTACGTAGAAAAGAGTTATCTCATTGAAGAATGGGCCATTCCAATAACGTTAATCACAAGTTTAATTATGACAGTAAAACAGAAATTAAATGAATTGTAGCTGAACACAAATGATGTAAGTTAGTTTGGTATTCTAGTATAGCTTAGGCAGGGATACAAAAGGCTACCTTGACTTAAGCTAAATTATGCCATTTATAGAGCCACCACGACATCATATTATTTATTAAGGGTTGAGTATATTGCACTGCAGTTCACTTTGTTCTGCCAAATGACTGTTAAGCATAGTCATTAAAGGTAGAGAAGATTAGAAACCGACAGGTTTTTAACCAGCTTTGCTTTCGGAGCATAAACATTGCTTCCTGATTCTTTCATAACAGTAACGTAAAAGTCAGGTGAAGAGTACCAAGGAGAAGAGTAAAGCCACTTGATGATAGAGGTGGCTGGGGGATTTGTTATGTATACCTAGTCACCGTCTACCCCATCTTCCATTGTTGCTGAACTAATTTTTCGGTGGGAAAGGGTTAGCGATGGCTAGACTAAAACATGGCATCACTGGGTGAAGACTTTCACTGTTGGTCTGATGCACGTACACAGACGACTTTCCAGTTGAGGTCCATGTGACAATATAAATAGTTCACTGGAAACACTAGGAAACATGTCTCAAAACTGATCGCAGTGTTGCAGATGTATACACACATTATCTTCACCTTAATTATCACACTGAGTTTCAGCACTGATTCATCCCTTCTTGCTCTCGTTTTGTAACTTTCTACTAATTTTGATTACTTTATTCGTTATCTCTTGGCGCATTCTCACTTGATATGCTATATGAGGTTTGATAGTTCTGTCCATTTGGCAATCACTTCAGGTCTCGGGATAGTTTTGAGTGACTGACTAGGAAAGGCTGGATATTTCAGTTTAGGAGGTTCAAATCCATATGTGACTGATGAGTGTACCTCATGTCTATCGTTTACCACTCGACTGAATAAAGCCAGAAACAATACTTTACCAATCTTGGTACCAAGTTATTGAATTACTGACAAAACACGTTTTCAAAGCTTAATCTTCAGCTTTCACATCTGTAAGTGATTTTTATTTTCTGGTGTTAGATATAAACAGTTGGAAGCTTTCAATGACCTGCGTTTTGAGTAGAGTAAAACCGTCACAGCGACATTTAGAGCACAAGAAAATGAACAGAAAACTAATTCTCATCACTTACCTCTTAAGCAACTGTTCTGCAATAATATTATATAGATTTTCTTGAGACAATGTATTGCTAATTACTAAAACTAACCACGTAAACCATGAAAGTGGCTACAGAGTAAAATATTTTCTTTGTCGAGATATAAAAGTGAGAGACAAGTTTTAATTGAATGGATAGTTTATGCGGTGACTGAAGCAAAGAAGAATACATGGTCTTTTTTAATGGTCACGTAACAGAAGAGAAAAAACAACAAGGCAGACTATAAGAATAACAATAGTTTCTAGGTTGCATATGGATGAGAGAACATCTCTGCATAGGTCAGAACTGATCATATAGATAGCTAAGGTGAAGAAAAAGTCTGTACTATCTTCTTTGGAACACTTAAGTTCGGAGGATTCAGATGAATTCACCTGCGGTTTGTAAACGGTAAATTGGTCAGGGATGGGTAATAGTATCAGCAGTTCGATAAATTACTGTGAAAGCTGCACTTATACAATTCTGATGGTTAGAGCCATGAAGATATGCGGGTACGGAACTCTCCATACATCTTTTACGGTTTATGAACAAATTATCTGTTGTTCTTGTTAGGATTCATAGTCATGACCTGTCCTGTAATTAAATGACGCGCGTGAAAATGATAGACTCGACATTTATGTAATCGAACCACAATGAATTTTTTCTCATGATGTTCCCAGACTGGCAAATGAATGATTTTAATGTGGAATTTCCTTGACACTGACGAATTTAAAATGAGGAAGTTCCTTTAGCTACTTCTACTTGAAGAATTAACGACAATATAGTGAGGAAAAATACTGCCATGTAACCTGATTACACAGTAAGTGATGTCAGCTTTTCATATGACAAGCGAATATATGCAAATAATGAAAGATAATCTTTGTAAAATGAAACTGTAATGTACGCCATTCTTGTCAACTTCTCGAAGAAAGGTGACCTAAGTCTCTGCAAGAACTGGAGCAGAATCCCGCTCCTGTCCACCCAAAGCAAAATATTATGCAGCATTATCCTGGAGAGACTAAAGGATACGCTGGATTCAAAACTACGACCGGAACAGGCTGGCTGGCTGGCTGGATTCAGGAAGAACAAATCATGTGCCGACCAAATTGCAACGCTGCGCCACGCATCATCATAGAACAGAGTATAGAATGGATGTCAACCCTCTACCTCAACTTCAGCGACTCTGAAAAGGCCTTTGACAGCGTCAACCCACAAGTAATTTGGCAGCTGCTTCAACACTACGGAATACCACAAACCTTTATCGATCTCATTCAACAACTATATGAAGACGCCTCATGCCAAGTAATTCACAATGGGAAGCTCAGTGACGCCTAAGAAGTGAAGACAAGATTAAGACAAGGCTGCCACCTACTATCACCCATGACACTTCTGATTGTAGTCGACTGGATCATGCAACAAAGTGTGAGGAGCGAGAAGAGAGGGATACAATGGCTTGACCGGGGAAAAGACCCCAGATGAAGATTTGGATTTAGCCACCGTTGATGATGATGATGATGATGATGATGATGATGATGATGATGATGATGATGATGATGATGATGATGATTTATGTCTAATGTCTTGTCTCACAAACTCGAAGATCTACAGGCGAGAACTAACAAGTTGACAGAAGAGATGAGGCAGGGCAGCGAAGATGGGACTTCAAGTGAATATAGAGAAGACAGAAGTGATGACGATAGCCAACAAACACCACCACCAACAACAACAAGCTCCAATCACCAACTCGTGAAATCTAAAGGAAGTAACCTCCTTCACCTACCTAGGCAACATCGTTTCAACTACAGGTGGCACAGGCACAGACGAGGATGTCTAAGCCAGCAAGCATCGGAAAGACAGCAAGACAGGTGTTCATTAGCCTGAAACCAGTGTGGAGATCTTCTACACTCAACTCATCATGTGGAACAAGATCCGGATTTTCAACATCAGTGTCAGTCAAGTAACTCAGTGCTCCTGTATAGTTCAGAAACTTGGCGCGTTAAGAAAGGGATTTCCAACAAACTACAGACACTCCTCAACAACTGCCTACGTTGGCTCAATACTGAAGGTTAGATGGTCAGAAAGAATAAGCAACAAGGAAGTCTGGCTGGCTGGGGACGAAGCAACCAAGAAGCTATCACTCAACAAATATACAGTGGAAGGAAGTGGAGATGGATTGGATTGGGCATGCACTGAGAAGGCCGACTGGGGACTCACACGTCAGGCCCTTGAGTGGAATCCCCATGGGGGAAACAACGAGTAGGGCGTCCGAGGCGAGGGTGACACAGAGGAGATCGTGTGAGGAGGAAATGAGAGCTTGTGGGCATTGGTGGAGTCAGGTTCAAAAGATTGCAGAGAAGAGAGTGGAATGGAGACGTGCTGCTGAAACCCTATGTTCCACTAGGAACTCAAGGGACAAATAGTAATAATAATAAATCATCTATTCATTAATTACTTACCGACTGTTAATCACTCAACCTTACGTTCCTCCAGTTTTCCATGTTAATACGTAGCCTAATAGCTCTTGAATAGTTCTTCTTTTACACTGATGTTAATTTGTTGTTTCCCTCCACTCCACTCCACATCTTCAGAATTTTCTATCACATCAGATACAAACTGCCATCTATTTTGACTAAGATTTGTGATTATTAATCAAGTGTTTCCTTGACTCACTCACTACCTTATTGAGGTGAACGTGTGGCCCCCTTCTACCCAATGATCCTGCAAAAAACACATCCGAAGGACAGTCACTTGTAAGGAGTAACTTTTAACTCACATTGTTAGTTCTAGACAACTTAACCGACTTGTGAATATTGAAAATGTGCTAAGAGTCTTTGCTGAATATCATAATTGATATTGTTTGTGTCATTAATAATTGATTACACATACGAATCCGTATTAAAACAGGCCACTGTCAACCTACCACTTAAACAATCTTACATTTTTAGCAGAAATATCGAA